TCCCCAAGGTGAAATTTACAGAACGGCACCCGTCCTGCCTGTGTGGAAGGAAAAACTTCAGGAATAAAAAAAGAGAACAACACAAAAACAAACAAACAAACAAACAAACAAACAAACAAACAAACAAACAAACAAACAAACAAAATAATACACTTTCTTAATTTTTTCATGTATGATTTACCTCCTTGAAGGCCTCCCTAAACTCTCCCCCAGGAGCCATGCCCAGTTGCTCTGTGATGTGAGCTGAAACTTTGAGCAAGAGAATCTGCATCAGGCCAGACATCAGCCCATTCTGTCAAACACAGAGGGCAGAAATAAGCATCCACAGCGAAACAGCGGTCATTATTTAAATATCGTTACAACAGCACAAGTTCTGTAGTTTAAGGTGCTTACATTAACATAGTTTTTGAAAATGAAGACAAAACACACAAGTACAGAAAAGGATAAAAGCTCTTAGCTTAGCCCTGCTTGTGCAACATACATCACTGGTATTAATTTCTCCATTAACAATGAGTGCATTTCTGCTTTATTCAGAATATATTACCTCTCTGTCACCATTTTTGATTCACTGTTTCCTTTCTGCCTCTCTCTCTCTTTTCCCTCTGCTGTGGATTTTATCTACTCTATCTTGCTCTTTTTTCAAACCACCACCATTCCCCATCTTCCTGAAAGCCTAACCTGTTTGATGGCATGCTGAACCTTGTCAAGGTTGATGTCTTTGGCTTCCTTCAGCAGTGTATTCTCGTCCATCTTCAACATAGACACCCTGTACTGGCACAGCTCCACCACCACCACGTCTGGCTGCACAGCGCGGATCGTCTGTGTGAGAGCAGTTGGTATGTAAGATAAGAGACAGAATAAGACAGAGTCAAATGGAAAATAAGCAGTGAGGGAGGACGTTCAGACAAAACAATCAATTTGGAATAAAGACAACAAGATAATGCTTCGCAAAATAGGAATGCGAACCTGATTACAGTATATACAGGCGACTCATCATCACTTCAAGGTGCTACTCTATAGCACTTCTCCACATTCACAGAATTACTCTATTTTTCCACTGACAACTCACAGCATATCACATTTTAAGAGGGTGTAAATGGCATTTTGCACTGTATGACTCCTCTTGTAAATCCTCATCGGCTCACCGTGGCCACATCCTTTTTGCTGCTGTCACTGAAGTGTGCTGTGCCCACCAGGTATAGGAGGCTGCCATCAGGGGCAGTAAGGCGGGTCACAGTCTCTGGGAGCTCAGGAGATGACTGGCGACGCTGAGATCGCAACTGCCAAAGCAGCTCCATTGCCTCACCATCGGCTGGAAAGTAACAACAGAAACAGAAAAACTATAGTGTTTGTTGTCTTCCTATTGTTCTAATCTATTACAGGGAGGATGTAGTCACAATTTTCACAAATTTTCCTCTACTTTCCATTTTCTTAAATGCATTAGCTACAGTTTTAGCAATTTACATCCCAGTGATATAAGTTTCACACAAGCGGAAACGCTGCTAATGCTGGAGAAGAGTTAAGTTAAGGCTTTTTATAGTAAACTTGAGACAAGTCTAGGGGCAATCCTACACTTTACAGAAAATCATCACAACATACAAAATACACATATCATTTTTATGGTCTGTGGGTCTGGAAAAGTGCAAACTGTGGCTGTGGCTAATAGTGAAGATAGCAAGAAAACTGATAGCACATGCATTTGTATGAGGTAAAACTGCATTCTTAAGGTTTGACAAGTGATTACCTGGAGATGATCCAACACTGCTCCAGTCAGTAGCACTACATGATATTTAAAGATAACGTGACAAAAGCTTGGGGCAAATCTATTACTGTACAGAGCATAGAATTTGTAAGACTTGTATTATTGTACTATGCAGATTTACTGTTTACGTAAGAAGTTACAATACAAGGACAGCTGCTTAAAAAAAAAAAGTTTGTGGTTCCTTCTTAAACAGGTATTACACCACCTATTTGATGAAGTACAGCATACACACTGGATTAAGAAAAAACACAATGGCTTACAGAGCCCTGGAGGTAGGCATGGAAGTTCCTCCTCTGATGGCCCCACTGACTCATCCTGTGACACATCAAAACAGCAAACAATATCTTAGACAGAAGGCGCAAGATTAGGGAGCTTATTTATGTCAAAGACTAGCCAGTTTTAGAAAGATTGCACATAATTAGGTAACTGCTCAGAGCAATGGTTGCAAAATAACATAAACAAGTTAACAAGAGAATAACATGCTATTACAGACTACATCATTCTAAAACACACAAGCTGCCCAGTGTGTTATCCTCTCTCTCTCTCACTCACACACATACACATAAATACAAGAACGTGTTTCTTTTACAAACCTCTGAATTATTGTCTTGGTCCATGTTTGAAGCACTGAAAGCTGCGTGTGACAGAGAGCAGAATGAAGACATCCGTTCACACCATGCAGTCTGTGGTCACACACAGTGAGCCGCTCACCGACAGCTAGCTACGGTATAACGTTAGTGACTGCTGACGTTGCTTTACCGGGGTGCTGACTTGTCTAAACGCAACCAACGGTTAAAACGCAATATCGTTACTGGGGAAAGCAGTCGCTGTCACTGATTCATGACAGTAAATCAAAGAGGTAACGCTATCTCCGCCGAGGCGATCGCTACGAACAAAAGGTTAGCTACACAAGTCTAGCACAGCTGAGGAAGAAGTGACTTACCGGCGGCAGGTCTACAAGCTAGCTAGCGTTACTCCCAAGTATGGGACTGCTAAACACTTGAGTGTTCACCAAGAGCTCATCGGTCTGGCTAGCAACCCGATGATGATAACAGCTAACTCAAGCTAACGCAAGCTAGCAAGTCTGGTAAGAATTTAGTCAAATATAAACGTTGAAACTGGATATTTTCACAACAAATGCTGCCATTCTCAAATACAACGTATTTGGTTATATACAGGATAGTTGTCTACGAACGAATACCTTCAACTTACTGAGCAAGCCTGCCCGTCTGTCAGTGTGCTGCTCTTCGCCTGTACAGTGCTCGGCTGACAGCAGCGGTGCATTCTGGTACATGTAGTCATTGATTGTCGGGACGCGCACGTTTATTGTTTTTATAAAGAAAATGTTTTTAATTTGTTTTCATTATAACATTTTACACATTACAATCAAAGTCTGAACTCTCTCCTCCACATTTTCACTAGCATTAAGACTGTCGGAGATCTATCTCTCCAACAGGCTCAATGTGAAAACCTACACAGAAAATTAGTTATAAGCAGAGCTGTGTTACAACATATAACATGCTCTTACACACCCGTGCTACTAGTCTTAAAGTGCTTTTGGATGCATTTGTGTGCTTGAGTAGTCTAACAAGGGGATTGTGAGCCATCTGGTATCATGACAGTGACATTGATTATCACCAAAACGAAGGATATTTGGATGCTGGAGTGGGGAAACTGCTGTTTCCCACCACAAGTCTTGAAGTATGTGTTTATTGAAATGCCCCATAAGATGAGTATAATATGCATAGGTCCACCTATATTGTAGGTAGGCCCCTGACAACAGCACTAATGTCTTCTACAGTAGATGTCATATTGGTGTGTCAGTCAGTGCAGACAGTTTGTTTTTATTGAAGCTCCTGTAATCGTGTGCAGCTGCAAGAAATGCATAAGGAGAGGTTGTGGTAGGCACCCATCCCCTTGTCCACTCACTTGTTCCCTGTGAAAAGTGCTAACATACCCTATATGCTTGGTTTTACAACAAATAACAGACAAACTATTCTAACTATTCATTCCTTCATGAGTCTTTTGCCGGTCGAGCAAGTGTTAGCACAATGTGAGACAGGGCACAACTACTGAAAAACAAATTTAGATCGTGTCAGACCAGCAGATGACCATCAAAAGCTTCATCATCACGTTATAAACCTTCCCGTGAGGAATGATTCAACATCTACTCATCACATCTTTCATTTCACATAACAGCACTCCCACAAGAAGCCAGCAGAATACAGAAGTCAAATACTTCACCAGTGAGTCCAGCTCCATTCATCACGATGAAGTCTTTAAAGTCCTTAAGAAGAAAACACCCACATAACTGCCTTTTTACTAGAATTCAGAAGATAACTGGTACCTATAAAACACATCTCACAGGTTCTCTGAGCAGTACTGAAACTTCACGTTGTCTCACAAAGCCACACTTTCATTATAGTCTGCTGTTCCTTTATAAAATATGCCAAATTTCCCTACTATTAATGACGTGCAAATATAGTGGAGTCAAGATCTTAATACAGGTTCCTAATCGATGGTGAAGTGGCAATGACAAAGCCATGAAACGTGTTATATTTTAAACACCCCACACAACACTGAGTCATATACAGTGTCTATACATGTGAAATATGATGCTGTAAGCGCATACGTTATTGCCACAAATATATTGTGATCTTTTGCATATTAATTGTGCAGATCTCAACACCTGTATTGCGTGAGCTACCTTTCTACTTGGCTATTGGGATAAAGGGACTAAGCGTTATCATATGTGTTAAAATACATTTTGTTTGAAGCCATAATGCAGTCCTCTTTGCAAATATGCATTCCTAAGGTGTCTGTCTTTTTTTTTTTTCAAGAAAGCTCATTCATCTCTAGTTGCTGTCCGTCCTGTTCGACCCTGCACTGTAGCACCCTGTTGAGTTATATCACTGCTGGTTTCATTGGAGGGTGATTAGCTGTACACAGTCATCCTGAGACATGAATGTGACATCATTTCCTACAGCAATACTCTGATCAAATACACAAATCTCTGTCTTATTTATCCTCTGTGAATATTTTTCCCTTCTAATCTAAAAGTTCAAGATTTGTTTTTTTTTTTTGTTTTTTTTGACAACTATAGCCATTTGTCACTATCACAAATCTGCTCATCAGTCAGCCCAGTCCACCCATCACAGACATATATGAGTTAATTCAAAGAGAAGAGGTGGTTGTTGATAGGAGGAAGATGGTCATGTGCAGCGAGTGTTGTGTCGGGGGGGAATCTCAGTCAGCGTTCCTCTTCCTCTCCTTCAACATTCCCCAGCGGCGATGAGTTCCCCCGGTCTCCCCGCTAGTCTGTCTCTACGGTTTTCTTCATCCTCCTCTTCCTCAAAGAGAGTATGATGTATACTCAGCAGCTGGTGTGTGGGGGCTCTGGTCAGGGGTGGTGGCTGAGACTCAGGGTTTTCCACCAGGGTGAGAGGCTCCTTTGGAGGAGGGGAGGACTTGGGACTGAGTGGATCCTCGCTGGAGGGTGGGTTGGGGCTCACGCCATTTACATATGTAGTGGTGGGCAGAGTGACTGTAGAAAAGGTAGTGTTGGTCGATTCTGGAGAGCGAACCTTAGTCTCTGAGAGCCAAGAAGCAAATACCAGACAGGGTATGAGAGGAGAGAAAACAAAAGTTAAAGTCTCAAAAGAAAATAGTACAAAAATAATAAAAAAAATCTCCTATACTGTTTTAAAGGTCAACACTAACAACTAATGTCAAGCTACCAGGTGTAGCCTCACAAGCTAGACCTCACATTCAACTGTACCTGAAAAGTAAAATCATGTTTTATTGTCTTCAATTCCCAAAACAGAGCTTCATTATTCATTTACATTTCAATATCCTTACCTTTTGCATGCTAAAAGTGATTGGCCAAGGAGTGATAGGAGCCGAGGAGTAATATTTACTAAGCATGTGGAATTGAACAGATATAAAACAGTGTGTATTAAATAATGTGGCCACTTTGTTCACAGGCACAGCAGGATGAGAAGTGATGCTGTGTTTGTCTGGTCGCTATTAAATTCCTTGAATATTTGACCCATGTCATTAATTCTGCCCTCAGCAAGAGACACACAAAGAGCAAGAGACACACAAAGATGAGGCCTACCTGTAATTGCACCAGACACATGAACAACAGTATGTGTTCCTTCGAGGTACACCGTATCTATGTGCTCTGAAGGTAGAGGTTCTGTGGTTGCGACCTCCACCTTGGGCTTCCGAATGGTCAGCATGTACGGGTGAACGTCCAGAGAGAAGTTGCGAGTGTGCTTTTTCTCCATCCCACTAAGATCTACAAGTCAAAATAAAAGCAGAAACTGTTCCTAAAACAGCATTAACTGATTTTCTGGCCTCTTGGAGGCAGCAAAAACACACTGTAAGTGACATTTATCTGTTACCACCATAAACAGTTTATTTGGTTCACTAGCTGGTTGCTAAATTTGCCCGTTTGCTGTTTCGTATTGCTCAGATAGTGTATATGGCAATTCTCTATGGGTTCATCATTAAGAGTGACTTCTATCACATTACACTTAGTCTTTTGAGCCACTGTTAATATAAAAATACTCATTAAAGCAGCGATAATTTAAAATTAGTTCCTTAACGTGTCACAGACTTAATGTTCGTAGAACTGCATACCTTTTGTTGCTGGATGTTGTGTGCCCTTGCTGTCCAGAAGTGGTGCGATGAAGCTGTCTGCCACCGTCTTTCGTCGGAGCGGTTTGGGTTTTTCAGGCTTGGTGTTATTTTCCAGACGTGTCAGAGTTAGGGGTTCCTTTACAAAGGATAGAAAACACAAAAGCAGGTCATTATATAACAGCTTAAACTACAGTTCAGGTAGCCAAAGGCAACACTTAAAGCATCATTCCACTTCCTGTCTCTGTAGAGAAACAGGTGATGTTGATGGTTGGATCCTGCTTCACTTCTGCAGTCACTGATGTTTTTTTCTGAACAGATAATGATGTGTTACAACAAATTTTATTGGGCAATCGCCTTACCTTGAATGGCTGAGGGAGAGGATTTGAGGATGGGATCCATTTAATCTTCTTGCGGGGCCGTTTGATGACCAACGGCTCCCCAGCTATCTCTCCCACTCCGAGATCAGAGGGATCCATATTAGGATCCAGCGTTTGTATCCCAGAGTCCCTCACAGTGGGTGTAGCATCATGGTTGGACTGTGCAAGCGCAGCCAACAGCTGCCTGACCACATTGTCATACATGAGGTCACTTTCATTAGTGATGAAATCTAGCCGGTTGAGTGACTTGATGTGGTCCCTGTTCTCATTGCAAAACATGGCCAGGATGTTGATATCACAGAACTGAGACTTCTGCCAGCGGCGCCGTGTTTTAATACCAACTTTATGCAGTTTGTCAAATACAAAGTTGGACTTGCGCACCACAAACAAATGCAGCAAATTAAGCAGGATGATGAGGTTCATGGTGCAGAGCAGAGCTATGTCCACCGCTGCCATGATGCGCTGCAGCTGCACAGCAGGCAGCTTACAGTTGACCCTGAGCTTTAGCTCTTGATAGCTGCTAATGTCTGGAGGCTCACCCAGCGCACAGGTGAACTCATTCTGCCTTTGGCGGGCATAGTAGGCGCTCAGGTAGGAAATAGGGATGGAACTGAGGCAGATAATAGCCAGGTGGCGTGCCAGGTAAAGCTTAGCCAGAAAGTTACTTTGGCCTCGTCTCTCTAAGTATTTCTCAAACAGGTTCTGCTCAGGGCTCTTCTCCTTCTCCGCGTTCTCTATGATCTCCCTCCTCTCTCGCTCAGTTATGCCAGGTCCTTTGGATTGGATCTGCTTCTCGATCTTTGGGGCTCGGCCCTCAGCAGCTCGATGATAGCAGTTGTCAATCTCTTGAAGCAGGAAGTTGAGCTCTGAAGTGAGCCGTGTAGAGGCGAGGAACTCCCAGCCCAAAGCAGGAATGTACATGATTCCAGCAAAAGCCAGCAGGGCGTAGGGCAGGAACTTGTGTTCAAATAGCGAGGGCCAGAGGTGAGACTCCACACCAGGAATGGCATCACGTAGCTCTGTCCAGCAGTAGCCTCTTGCATACAGTGCCTGATCTCTGGTGAAGTTGTGCGGTGTGTAACAGTATATAGACTCCTCTGAGGAAAGCACAGATAGAAAGCATCAGTCAAGGCATTACTTTAACAAGCCAAATGATTATACTTCATAAAATAATTTACGTTTACGAGCTGAAAGAAGAGTGTTGCAATGCTACATCCTGGGCCTTATTTTTTTTTTCGTCCAATTTCATTAGCAATATCTGACAATGTGAAAACTCTGCAAGACACTCCAGTTGTGCCAGTGACAGGTGACAGGTGAAGAAAGGTAAACATACCTGAAATATCTACTGTAATCATCAATTGTGCTGTAAAACTGCATGAGCACACAACTAAACTGAGTATAGGTGAATCATTCAGTGCTTCTGCATATCGCAACAGATTTGGTAATACCTTTAATGCTCACTTCCAAATAAGTTCCATTCATCACTTTTTATTTATTTTCTTATGTGCAATTTCAGTGCAATATCTATTCACATTTATTTTCAAGAGAGTATCTTGAACCTTTCTCGGTTTCATTTGAATTACTCCTGTATCTCTGAGAATCTTTCAGAATCATTCATCTGTTCAGCAGAAAGCGCTGCGTCTCTCTGACAACACTCATCTGCTTGACTCAGATAGAGGAAGTGAGAGCAGCCCTTCCTGTCAAAGTTGTTCCTTATCAGTTCTGTGTCCATTAAATACAAACCAAGTGCAGTGACAGCTGATATTACGTAATGCTTTGATTACCTTACAAAGAGTCATTTTTGAAGTCAGCATTTATTCTTTTATCTTACTGGTAATAAGGAGAATATGTGCAGTGACATTACTTTATTAGTCACAGGGGGCAGGGTGTTGTCCTTGCGCTTTAATGTTTTTATTTTTTCAGTGCCTAAATATCCTAAAAAAATACATCAGTGAGTGAATACCTGAAAAGTTGTCAAAACACCCACATCTTTCTGCTGCTAAAGTTAAACACTCGGTCCCAGCTGGTTAAATGCTGCTCTGCAGAGAGTCTGACTCAGCAATGAACTAACATCCCTCCCATCTATCGTTTCCTCTCTCCCTTCTAACCAACCCCCCCCCCACCAGCAGTCCATCCCCTCGTATCTCCACTCTGTCTTCCTCACTCTCTATCCCTTCCTAGCTCTCTCTGTCTGCTCCTTCAATACACTGCTCCTTTTCCTTCCCCACCTAATCTCCTACTTACACTCCTTCTTATCACTGTCTGTCACAAAAGACACAAATGCACCGCGCTGCTAACCCGTACCTTTTAGATAGTGAGTCTTGAGGTGTAGGGAAAGTGGTTTCAGACTTTTGGACCCCGCTGTATGTGTATGTTCCAAAACCTGACACAAAGCTGCTGCTGCTGCTGCTGCTGCTGCTGCTGCTGTCATGACTTAGACATTCTAGCTTTGACAGTGAACCCCCTCTAGTGGCTGAGCATCTCACCTGCAAAGTTCCTGGTGAAGACAAGGGTGACCAGCAGGATGGGGATGATGACAGTCCCTATAGTAACAACACGATCAAAGGGCAGCTCCAGTTTGAGTTGCACCATGAGGCTGGCCAGTGCCCCGCCCTTCTCATCCTGAGATGAGCCCGGCAGGATCAGCTCCTTCAGCTTCTCGCCGGCGAGCAGAGCTGTGGCCATGTCTAAGTTTTGATCGAGGATGTTCTGCATCCGGAACACAAAGGACGCACACTACAACCCCCCTCTGGGCTGGAGGGGAGGCCAGACGCTCCCTGCTGTAATTAAATGCACCTCAGCACAGTCTGACACACATACACACTCACACAGGCACACACACACACACACACACACACAAATGTGTGGCCAACCTCAGCCCCGGTCACCATGTGTGGGAAAGAAGCGGGTCATACTTTGTGGTCTGTGTTCTTCAGAGCTTTGAGTTTTCTACAGTTTCCCACTGCTCTTCCCTTGTAGAAGAACAGACATAATGTTCAGAAGCAAATTCCTCACTCGGCCTCTTCTGTGTGCATCCCTATGTTTTGCCCCGTCTCTACAGTGCCTGGCCTCCGTCCACACACACTGTGTGGCAGGATGAGGAATGAGCCGAGTTTAGGAGGCGTCCTTGTGCTCCCCAGGGAGAGTGACTGTTGGCTGAAGAGATGTTACGTGGGCTTCGGTCACGAGAAACTCGGACCAGTCCTTGCCTGAAAGACAGATAGCCAGTTAGGAAGGCACTATGTGTGTATATTTATGAAGGTACAATGAGGTTCAAGATGTTATTGCTGGGAACATATGTGCAATAGATAACAAATGGATCTTTCAAATGAGCCAAAGTGTGAATTTGCATTGTCTCACACCTTCCTCAAGAAAGCCCCGTGTTCCCATTCATCGCCCTTTATAATGCAGTCATGTGGCTGAGGATGTCTAATCCTCTCTGACCAGTGGAGTGTGTGATTGTGGTTACATCTGAGGGGGATATTTGCCTTTGATGAAGCAAGGACACTAAAGGGCAAGTTTCGTCACTGGGGAGTATGCTAACCTGAAACTGATTAAAACCAGAATTTATTCAGTGATTTTGAAAAGTGTTCCATTTGTCTTGAAAAATGAACAACCTTACATGTTTTGGACAACGACTGTGCTATTCCAAAACGTCCCCTGCCCCTCTCTGGACTCCTGGTTGTCATTACCTCTGTGGAACACCATGTTCACACTGGGATGTCAGGTGGATACCAGACACTTGTCAGTGGGATGTCTTGTCATGTGTGTCTGAGTGTGTGCATATGTGAGTGTTTGAGTGTATGCAAGTGTGTGTGCATGTATACACACACACACACACACACACATGCAACTGCCTGTGCTGTAACTGTGCCACGTGGATCAGGGGCTGCTGCATGCTCATTTCACTTGAAGGTTATGTGAATGTCCTTTGTGAGGAGTGTGAATACATCACCCCTTCCCGTCAACAATCCTCTCGCTCTCCCTCTTCCTCTTTTTCTTTCTCTCTCCACCACTCCCTCTGCCCGCCTCTCACTTTCCTCTCATAATGCACACACACACACACACACACACACACACACACACACACACACACACACACACACACACACATATACAACTCATCTATGATATCCATAAAAGCAGAGCTCTCTAGTTCAGGCCTGGGAAGCACACTTAAGATCTCAGAGAGTGGAACCCTGAGACTGCAGTTTCACCGGTACAGGGGATAGTTAGCGCACTCTTGTGAGCTCTATAGCACTCTCAGCCACATGGTGGGAAAGATTATACGGAGAGGATTCCTTTGAAATTTCATCAGTGAGCATTATTCAAGGCCACATATGTTAATTCTAACCTCATGCAGTAGTTGGTATTATACAAGAACGTGCTTTATGGGATGACAAGACATCCAGTAGAGATTCACCACTCTTTTCTGCACGTACTGCTACCTGGTGTCAGTCAAGATAACTTTGCCCACACTTCCTCAAACACAGTCTCCAGGAGGATCAGAGAGGGAAATAAACTTTGCATAATTTAAATTTAAAGGGGGCAGCATCACATTTGAGTTTAATTTCTGTTGGAGGCTGTGCTGCTGTCTGTGAGCCTCTGGCACTGATCCAGTCCGACAGATTATGCCCCTTGGTTGGGGTGATGCCACCAGTAGTGTTTAGAGAGAGGGAATCCCACATTTCCTGGCTACTACAGCATCCCGCTTGACTATATCCAGTAGAGCCAGCTGAAAAGAGATGGACCCCCAAGACAACAGCGGACACAGCTCTGTTCATTCATTATGAACTAGGTGGCGGATGAGGAGGGAAGAACTTTCAGTGCCCATGTCTCAGACACTTGGGACAAATTTGAGCAGATAACTACAGCAGCCCGATGAGACATTTAGGAAGACATACTGTTTTAGTGTAGTAGAACACAGAAGGTAGAGAAATGGCATAAAGTATCCTCAGTGTTTTTGGGAACACTGCAGGAACATTTCATCAGTGAGAAGATCATTATGTCCTAGTTAGCTCGTGCTGTGTTAGGATGCCTCTCGCTGCTGTCTTCCTAAACAGGTCTGTGGGTCCGGGACACTGGGAGAATGGCAACCAGGAGGACCACGCTTCCGTCAGAGACATTGCATTGCAGAGAATCGCAACTGCCTGCAGATGTTGAGCCGTTTCAGCACCTGAGCGGCGGATAGCTCCCGAATAGCCAGCCAGGAGACGAGCTGCTAAACAGCAAGAGTAGCGGATTCAATCGGTGTGAATGTGTGTGTGTGTGTGTGTGTGTGTGTGTGTGTGTATGTGTGTGTGTGTGTGTGTGTGTGTGTGCTGCTCTCTCTCTCTCTGTGTGTGTGTCTGTGTGTGTGAGAGGGAGAGTGAGAGAAGAGGAGATCCTCAATACCTGCATCAGCTGTCTACCTGTCCACAGTGGAGAGACTAGCAGCGGTAAAGCCACACTTCCCGCTCCTCTGCTCAGATATCTAACGTGCATGCAGCTGGGAAACAACAAAATCCACTCACCATGTCTCGCTGCACCTCCCGGCACGGTAAGAGTTAATCTGCAGTGCGGGCGAGCAGCTACAGCATGTATCCGAGCACACCGGTTTGTTCCGCCTTCCCCCCCCAACCACCACCATCACCCCTCCCCCTCACCCACCAGCCCCGGTTCCCCTTCCTCTCTCCCTCCCTCCCTCCCTCCCTATCCGCTCCGCTCCTCTCTCCTCCCTGCCCTGCCTCTCTCCTCAGAAACAAGGGATGAGACAACACATTAAGATTCTCTGTAGTTCATCACATCGCCGTCGCTTCACCGAATTAACGCACAATAGCGAGCGTGATTCACAAGGACAGGTGCATTGTGGGCAGAGTTTCCGAAAAATAGATTCAATTATGTTGCAGAAATCGATTTCTATACCATGCAATAATCATTTTAGAGGTTTACCACTGACATATGACAAAATCGGCCTACTGTATGAACGTTACTGGAATGTTACACTTATAATAAAATAGTACTAATGAATAATAAATAGTCTAGGCACTAGAGAGTAAGATTGTCTGTGTAGGACTAAGGCTTGGCTGTAGGTGAATAACTACAGACTGACTAACCACTACTCAAACCTTCTGGTCGCCCAGTCTACAACCAAACTACAAGGCGGTGAGGGGCTTTTACTGTCATATTGATAGGTTCCTGCAGCCTGTCCGTCATGCATGAATGTGGGACTGGCCACAGACACGCGCCAACAATGAATGGGAAAGATATATGTCATTCAAACTCACTGGGTGTGGCGAGCATCTGGGTTTTTTTCTTTCTTTTTTTTTTCTTTTCTCTTTCTTTTCCTTTTTTTTTGGATCTCAAAGACAGCAGCACCATCCCTTACTGCTGGGGTTCATGCAGCAGAAGCTAAATCCAACTCAAGTTTAAAATGAAGTAGATCCTTGCACAGCTTGTAATGGAGGAGCCATCATTTGATTGCATTGGCTACTTGTAGTAACACAAGCCTGTGTGAAGATAGTATTTAGAAGGAGTCTTTTGGGGAAATAACAGCATAAATGAATTTAACTTTGTTGACTGCAGTGATTTTGCCTAATGACACAGATTACCTGTTCATTTACCAGTGCATGATCATCAATAGGGACCATTTTACAGCAGCTCCAGAAACTGCAGCATCCTCTGGCTCTCTATGTTCATCAGGTGGACTGAACCACAAGTCAGTTTCTCCTCAAGCCGGTTTCCACCAGTTAGGGAAGACACTCCTCACTACGTCTGCTTCCAAATATAGACTCTCTCTCTCTCTCTCTCTCTCTCTCTCTTTCTGTCTCTCTCTTTCTCTCTCTCTCTCTCTAAGTGGAGAGCTCTGTACAAACCACCATTAACGAAGAGGGTTGGTGATTTACAGTGGAGGGTTCTGCATGGTGTTGTTGCTGTTAATGCTATTGTTTCTATGATTAATCTAAATGTTGCTGATACCTGTCCCTTCTGTACACAGAGAGAGACTGTTTTTCATTGTTTTTTAGAGTGTGGTCGACTCTTGTCTCTGTTTCGGTTTTTGTTTCAGATGTTTGGTTTGTATGACAAGGTTTTCTCACAACAAATGTTCATTCTGGGCTACAGGTACAACAGGAGAGGAAAAATAAAATGTCAGTTATTGAATTATTTGTTGGGTCAAGCGATAATGGCGATTTACCTGAGCCGGAAAAACAAGCTGGAAGACTCGGTAGATGTTGATGTAACAGTCATTTATAAATTGATGCTAAAGGCAAGACTGAAAACTCATTTCAGTTTCTTTATGTTGACAAGTAATGTGGAGTTCAAGAAGACATGTTGAAATGAGTAGAGTTTAATTTATTTAATTTTATTTATTTTGGAGTTTTTTTTATTTATTTCTTGAAAATTTGTTATTGAGCGAATAAAATCTCTCTCTCTCTGTTCTAAGGTGTGATACAGCTTCCTGCTTCCTGTCATGGTGGTATGAAGACTGCAAAAGAATGCAACTGCATATGCAAAGGACACGAAATCCAGTATGTCCTTTCGTTATTGGCCTAATGTGTTAGAAAATACAAAATACACCCACTTTGTTCGGTTCACCTTGCAATTCGTTACAACAGCTCTGCCATAAATTCTATCATTACAAAGTTGATAATGTTCAGTTTTTGTTGACATAGTTGGAAATGTGTAAATTCAATGTTACATATATTAATGTGGTCATAGTTAAAGGTGGTGTTGTG